CAGCGATTCACGATGTTGGAACGAGTTTAGGCTGTAGAAAAAATTACAGGGAACCTTGCCGCATCCACTGGTCCTTGACCCATTGTGGAAAAAATAGCTTGAGCTTAGGACAAAAAATTACAACAATATTGCCACTCATAAGCGCCCGATTCCGAAGATAGGCTCCACATCGTATGACGCTAAGCCTGCGTTAGATAGTACAGTCTACAGCAATACCCGGCTTACCAGCCGTCACACAGCGAGGGCGCCTTTAGACGAGCCAAGTTCCCATTTGATATCGGCGCAGGGATGTCGAGGTCTACTGCGAAGACGAGCACGGTTTCTTCCTATTCTACAGTAGAAGAAATGACCTGAGCTTTATTCTTCGCTATATGAGCAAGTCACTAGAGCATCTTCGTTTGCGAAAAGTCGATGATGTAAGGCGAAGCCTCCGTATCCGGAACGAGCTGCGATAAGCGCTCCAAATGTCCGTCGATCTAAGCCTTTCAGTTCTGGGCCTAATCCTAAGCTAGGACCGATTCCGAGATCTTTATATCTAGACAGGGCCTCTCTTTCCCAGAAGGCGTTGGTGGAGGCCTCGCAGAACTGAGTAACCTTCCTTTGTGCCCTTGCTATGGAAAGAGGGAAAGATGATGTGGGTCTTAGACATGTTGTCTTGGCTAGAGAGTCTGCTGCTTCGCTTCCGGGGATTCCAGAATGTCCGGGGCACCATCGGACACTGACTGTTCTAGCCCAAGTGCATGATGCGCGTTTTCTATCAGATCAGCTGGCTACGAGTTTCTGGAACTTCATAATTTAACGGGAGCTAACTGCAGTTGGGGTAATAGGAGCAGCCGTAGAGCCGCTTCTTGGTCATCTAGATAGACAGTTACGTTAGTTGCAAAAAATACTATGGGATTGTGGATGGCAGCCACTGGCCCCTCAGTCGTTCCAGTTATTTCTGCATCATAAACTTCTACTAAGATGCCTAGAAGTATGGTTCCATAGGCGATCTCGTGGGACGCACCACGTCGTATCGAATACCCTGCTCCTGCTCGGTTCTCAATTAACGCATCATCGGAAAAAACAGAGAGGTCCAACATTGATAGCAGATCAAACCAACTGGTGAGGGCATCGACTCCAGCATCTCGACCAATTGCACCGATATTTTCCAAAGATGTATCCAGGTTAACTTTCCAGGGTGGGGGAATAGTATCTTTTGAGAGTTCTGGAGTAATTTCTTGTTGGATCCAGAGCATTCTTACGGAATTCCGTCGTCTGTAAAGGGGTTGCCTAAGATCTGCCGAGGCTATGCGGACAGATGGGCGATCTTGAAAACATTCAAGCCAGGCTCGTGCAGGACCCTAACCTGTCACCCGAAGAAGTACAGCTATTGAAGGGTGGTGATGTATATGATCGAATACACTTGGTATCTTTAATTGAATGGTCGTGACTATTCAGGGGGCTTAGAATATACTTGGGTGATTATGGCAATAATTTGATGGGATGCGAATGGTATCTTATTTTTGTTGTTACGCTGTAGATTATGCAGGGGAACTATTCTCAACACCTGTCAGTAGTGTCCCCTACGAACCTCCAGCTCCCGCTGTAGAGTCTGCAGAGCCGATATTGAGTAACAAAGTCCTCACTTCTACGAGGATTCTCAATCGCTTTCGCCGTCTGTATCGTCTTCATCTCTCAACACATCCCCCTATCACCATTATCATGAAGCTAACCACGATCAGATCAGATGGTAGGGTCGGAGCCCTACTCATCACCAACCCCTGATCATGGAGGAAAAGCCATCTGATGAGTTTCCGGAGCGTTCCCAGCATTCGATACGGAGATGGTGGATTGGATCAGGTCGGATTGTCATAGCTATATAGCTCAATACAATATGAATTAAAAAAAAGAGGATCAGGTCGGCCTCGACTGTTACAAAGAGGGGAGATAAAGATGAGTATGCGCACCTTATCTGGTCCCGGTGTCTAGGCCTCGCCTGGCTGGGGCTGCAGGTTTTTTTGAGACTTTTTCCCGCGCACACAGTTTCCATTGCTACCATTTTTTAGATTTTTTCGGATTTTTTTACATAGAAGGTTCCGTGGAAAAGGTGGCCGAACTCCACGGGTAAACACTGAGCTGAATGACTATTCATCACGGGCAATACATCAATGATCTTTCAAGACACATGAAGGGCAAGGAGCACTGTACAAGTTGTAGCCTGGGTCAGAAATGAGCCCAATATGCTAGATAGTCTATGACTCAAGTAGTACAATAAACATCACTCACTCACTCACTCATGGATAATTTACATGATAATTAAACAACCCTACATACTTTCGGATAGCGCCGAAGCTAGTCTCTTGTAGGAGTAATCTAGGGGTAAATATAGTAATCGGTGTTACAGACTAGTGCATTCTTTAGTTATAATCGGAGTTTATCTGGTTTACTTATCGAGAAGTCATAGAGTACATGGCTTGGCTGGATTGAGGGGTTGTGTAAAGGATAACTCATGCATAAATCCATATTATTATCCATTTATGTCCTATAACATAAATTCATACGCGACGCGCGGTATTGAGTAGGTAAGCATGTTATTCGACTTTAGTTATCTAAATATTCAGACATATAATGAATATGGTCTGTTTGTCGATTATGATGTGGCTGCGATTGCAGTTGGATGTAAATAATGTAAAGGTCTTTATCAAGTATCTTTAATATATATATTTATTATGGAAATACCCTCCCGTGAAGTCTGCTCTAGTATGTACATGTAAATGCCTTCTTTTATAGATATTCCCAAAGTCAAATATAGAGCACCGATATCCCCTGAGATATATGTTCGATACAGAGTTGTGACCTGCCTCCCATATTATGCGCAAGTACAAAACTACGTTCTACCATGTCCGTCAGTTCTGTATTAAGTTTTCCAGCCTTCATTTCCGTGCACATATCCTAAAGTGTAATTTGCCCGTAGATGTATGATCAGCGGCGGAAACCTGCAGTCTAATAAACACAGTTTAGACACCATGGGACTAGAGTCTAACTCTAACACATGTAGTCTTTGTAGTACTTGTTTCTATGCATAATATAATTCGATTTGCGACATACTTTTTGCGAATAGCTAATGTGATTAGTCCCTTCATAATCGGTGGTATCTAATTTATCACTAACCTGTTTCCATTTCCCTGGCTCCGCATGCTAAACCATGTGGATGACAATTTAGCACTAATGTGAAAAGCGCATTTATAACAACAGCGACTGGCGTCATTCGGAATACCGGAAGAGCTGCTCTGGCCGCGTCGTTCATTCCTTGTAGTGTTCTAAGAACTAGTCCTTTTTGGTTTCCTTTGGAATACCAAGTCTCAGACCCGTAGAGCAAGGTGATAAAAGCTGCTCGTTTAAGTACTTGTCTCGAGAGAAGATTGCTTATTCCTCAAGTGATTCTTGAGTCATTTTATGTAACTCGTGATGGCCGAGGATCTTCCGGATGCTTGTCTTACATGTTCTCTAAATTGAGGGCCTCGGTCAAAGATGACCCCAAGCCAGCGTATATGGTCATTTGGAGTAACCTCTACCTCATTAGCGTATATGCTGGGCTTTACTGGAGATCCATACTTTTGGTGGGAATATTGTAGCTCAGTTTCCGAGACTTCAAAAGTGATGCCGTTCTCACGCCCCCATGAGAAGATTGAGTCTAACTGCTTCAGAAGTAGTTCTGGGCATCGAGTGAGAGATGGCGCAGACGCTATAAATACTACATAGTCTACATAACCATAAAGTTTTGTGGAGAGATTGAGGAGGCCTTTAATTATCAGTAGGTGTAGGATTTGAGAGGAGGGAGATCCTTGTGGAAGCCCACAGTTGATTTCGAATATTGGAAATTGTGACGGAAACCGAGTTGGTGATGAATAAATCGATTTATTAAACTACATGAAGAGAAAAGAAACCTCTAGCTACCACTAGCAGGTACTTAAAACGTTTGATCCGCTTCGTGAATCTGCTGATTGATAACTTTCCCCTAGGCCTAATACTTGCTACCGAGCCAAGTATTATCAGGAGCCATTACACTATGATGTTGCTTTGACCTCATGGCCAGTAGTGCCATTAAATCTATATTTTTCCATCCTCCCTCTTTCAATCTTATCGTAATTATTCCAAACAAAACGCTTAGGTTTCCTCCTAAGCATAAACAACGTCAAACCGTAACAGTCATCGGCTAAGGCCTCAGAATAGTCGATGTGAGGTGTAATCATTGAAATGAGGATGTACTGGGTCGTACTTGCAGACTTGACGAGATCTGGGTAGAATTTGATATCGTTGGGAGTGAGAAGTTGACATGGTGGAGTATTTTGAATCATTGCCTCCTAGGCTAACTTCTATCGTATTGCTAAGCTTGACTGAAGTTGGCCCTAGAGGATGGATATTTCACTCCCAGATTCGTAGAGGACACCATGTACAGGTTTTTAATCTTGCCATCCGAGCAGGCTTCTTGCTCCTACTAAGATGCATGCTGTTCTGCGGTGCCGACGTTGAACAGTGTAACTATTAAAATGCGAAGCTTCAGACCAGTTCGTAAGCATCAAACGAAGATAGAGATAAGTCTCCCAGGCGAGCATTGCATTCAGTAGAGACAATCTTTAATAACTCGAGTATCCATGTTAACTTTGATCTGTTGATATGCGAATGAAACCCAAAGTTTGAGTGTCCAACGTCAAAGAGTCATCCAAGATGTGTTCATAGCAACGATCATTCGTCAAAGCTAGCCAACTGTAAAACATGTGTAATGATTTAAAAAAGAAGATATGTTGCGCTAAAGCTTACCAATATTCCTAGTCGTGCGAATTTGTGTTCGTCATGGTCGCACACTTAGAGCCTAAAGCTTTTACAAAATTGGATATTCCTGTCTTTAATTTATATCTCTTGTCATCTACAACAGAACTCCTGTGTATATTAGATGTAAAAAGTTGTTCGAGGACTAGGAAACCTTGACACCTAGACCTGCCTCTATTTCTGAAAGTTTAGACCTCAACATCACCTACTAACAAGCCACTAAGGCTCTCAAGAACGGCTACAAATATGCTAAGCAAGCTAGCAATACAAAAATGACTAATTGTGGTCCCTATTTCGAGCCAAGATCCTTCATCTTTCACGACCCAGAAGAAGTGAAGAGTGAGAAAGTCACTTATAGCCATAACAAGCATGAAAAGTGCTGATGGGGCAACTCCCAATTTTCTGTTTAGAATTCCGAGATTGGCAGAAATAAGGGCAAAAGGAATCATGAGTTTAAACATGAGGAGAGCCCCCTGTGAAAACGGATCGAATATCGGAATTAGCCTGTAAACACTATCGAGGCTGAATGCAGATATTGAAGCCACGTTACCCGTACTAAAGAATGCGGATTGAAGAAGTGTGAGAAAGAAAATGGATACTCGAGTATCAGCCAGCGTTAGTGATCGATAAGGTTTGATCGAAGGACGAAGCAGTGCATCTACAGCCTCGGTGTTGGAAGTTACTTTAGAATTCATGATGTGTAAAATGTGTTCGATGCGAACCCATGTTACTAGTGTGACGCAGAATCCAACATAGAAAAGTCCCTCATAGGATATTGTGAGGATAACGAATGTGGGGGAAAAAGTTAAAAAAATGACCATCAATCGGTGTAAGTAGTGTTTGTTTGGCCTTAGCCGGTGCATGAGTGGCATGATGAGTGGCAAAACTGTTTAAAATTAGAGAGACTCAAAAGCTTATGCGCTATTTACCTAGCGTTATCCATCCAACTATCTGGTTTCCCTTTCGAAGTCCAGACTTGGCTTTTAAAGATAAAATATTGAAGTATGTAATGAATATGGCGAGAATTATAAAACCAATCTGCTGATATTAATATCTATAATCTATATACTATATGAAAGCACTAACCTGAACTCCAATTAATGATCTAGAAAGAAGGATTTTTGAGGATAATAGTTTATCTTCATTCAGGTTTGATTTTGTAAGAATTCTATTTTCAAATATAAGATAAATAATGCCAATAGCTATCATCAGCAGTCCGCCAGATATTCTAGTTTAAGTGTTAGGCAAAGGAAATCAAATTTCATCGTAAGCTTACATAAGATTTACGTCCTCAACTTTAATCGCCGGAAATAGAGTAAAAGTACTCATCATTAAACAACTAATCACCCAAGTTGCAACTACCTCTTTATTATCAATGATGAAATTAAGTCCATACGATGTCGGCCAAAAAGCTGCGCATAGATATAAGAAAGAAAAAACTTCTCTGTGCGTATATCCAAGTGCCTAAAAATATTATAAGAAATCAAGTAAATTTATATTGAAGGAGACTTACAAGTAGCTCGAAGAGGACTATTCCAGAAATTACTTTAAAAATAAATATAAATATACCGCTGGTGCTGTCATTTGTTTCTAGTAAAACCTTCCAACCTCGGGCCAGTGTATGTCTTCGCGCAAAAACTTCTTCCCAGAAGATAACTGGAAAAAGTGAGTATGCATAGTAAGTCGATGGCGATTTTGAAACTATGAATGAGGCATATTGAATCACCAATACAGATGAAAAAAATAATATGCCACCAAATGAGCGAGAAGCTTTGGATTTGTGTTCCAGAACGTGTAAATCGATTGTAGTTGTCAAAGCGAATGCGATCCATCCAAGATATCCGGTCGTAATGAGCGCACGTAAAAAAAGCCAATCGTACGTCTGAAGGTATCGAAGACCTTCTAGACCAATTTCAAAAATATCACTTGTCTCTATGATGGCCTCTTCATATTTGCCTTGGTCAATGAGATTTCTAATATTAAGAAACCTCTGGTCTGTGGAGTAGTTTGCATCTCCAAGTGCTTTAAATTTTCGAAACTTGAACTCCGTATTTTTCTTCTGTTCCTCTTTGACTTGGTACATCTCTAGGATACCCCGGGCATTAGCAAGAAAAGCTTCTGACTTTGAGGCATTGTCTCCAGATAGAAATCCGAGCGGTAACTTGCCAACCGAGTTCACAGGGAAGTCAAGTCCAGCCAGGTAAGCCATTAATGCTGCAATGTCAGCTTGAGATACATCGTGCCTCTGAACATCGTTCATAGACCAATCTAAAGAGAATTCGTCATGTCCAGGAGCGATTTTGCCTTCTGTTTTATTAGGTTTTGCAATCCCTGAGCCCCAAGTAATTAGAGGGGTCCTAGTATTATCTGGGTGACCATCTCCATGACTTCCCCAATCGCTCATTCCATGGTCAGAAGTGAATACAAATGCAGTCTTATTGTCTCCATAAAAATCTTCAACTAACTGTGAGATATTTTTTATGCCTTCGTCAACTAATTGAATGTTGTGCAGGTACTCCTTAGAGTATGGTCTGAATGCATGCCCATTTGTATCAAGACCTAGCAAGTGTAGAAAGAAGACTATCTTGTCTTGTCGTAATTCTGCGTTAAGGGTCGCGTTCTTGGAAGCTTCCGAAAAAAAATCTTTAACATGATCAAAGACCCATAAATCTAGCTTGGATGCATCCTGCGAAGAATCTTCATTCTCTGCTGAGTATGTGAAGGCATCTACACGGCCAGGTGTGGCACCTAGCTGAAACATTGGGAGAATATCAGGGCTTCCCCAGCTCCAGGTATGCCGGCTCCTGTTGAATACACTGTCAAAGTTCACTGGATTTAGCTTCCATCCTGTTGTCACAGCAGATACATCTTCGTAGAGACCTGCGATAAGCGCGACATGTCCTGGTCTAGACTCAGTGGGAACTCTAGTGTGAGATACCCCAAATGTTCCATGCTCAAGTACACGCGATCGCAAGAAAGGCGCAAGAGGACGAGGTAAGAGGTCGTCTTCATTCTTTGGAAATGGATTCGGAAATGACTGAAAAGCTTTATCGGCACGAAGACCGTCGGCTTTACAAAATCATCATCTGTTAGAAACAGACTTGAAGAGAATCGGGGTTTCAAGCCATACCGACGAATAAAATTAATCTTTTGGCAGGAGCTTCGCTTCCTACAGGTCTTGGGACTCCATATCGTTGCATTCCAGAAACAATAGGACTGACAAAATAGATGTCAAAAATCGAGTAAATGTAGACCAAATGAAATATCAAAGCAATGGCTAAAAAGCCAAAGCGATGGACTTGGAACATATCTATTTCGCCTTGATTGCATGTGCGCCGGAAATTCTAATGGTAAGATGTTTCTAAAATCGTCAGCAAGGATCGTCTTTTGAGTTGCTAATTCGCACTTACTATCCATTCAAGTTACCTAAATTAAAAGTGTTAGGATAGTTACTCGATGATGGGTATAAATTCTGATCTTTTTTCTCGCTAGGAAATACTGCAATGGGTACTTGTCATGAAGAATTGGGGTATTGTGACATACTATTAATTATTTACCCAGTTCAGGGGTAAATTCTTTTCATCATCATCATTCTATTACCCGCCGATTGCTTTTGAAATATCGTCAGGGATACGCATATCAAATTTCTAAATTATCCTGCTTGGGCGCTCTGAGATTACATGCAAGACCTTTCGGTAGATATTAGATAAATGTAGAACGATTCAATTTTTCGTTCAGAACATTCACATTTAGATTTCGTTCGTAGATACAACTCGATTTAACCCTTACTGCATGCAACCGCTTCCGTAATTTTTTTTAAGATTTTTTTTGGATCATATTTTATTCATCTATGTAGCTATGACAATTGAGTTTCTACTTATTACAATGAAGATGATACAATTTAACGTCCTAACATCTTTTTCCACACCGTTACATGCCCAATGTTTATGTGCCTATTAGTCTCTTTTGTATGCTGACATACAAGTGGTAGTTTTCAAAAATTCTAGCGAGGCTACCTTCCCCCTCTTCCGTAATTATTGCCCAGGAGGCAGTCAGTTACAATTATGGCCTCAGTAGGGACTTTAATTTAATTATATTCTGTTCTTTCACCCAAGGAACAGGTTAAAGACACCATACATACGCGTGTATGCTTACGTCATAATATAAAACAATGTCACATGAAAGAAAATACTGTTTTGGCTTCATTGGATTCGAACTAGAGTTATTCTATCTCAAATGGAGTAGGCAGCAAAGCAACCGAGAGTCTACTTGCGAGAACGTCCTGGTGGTATATCACTAATTTATTCATACAGGAGGACAAGACTGAACACCTGTACGCGGTGTCCTCCACGAACCTGGGAGTGAAATATTCTCCCAGAGCCAAGTTCAGTCAAATTTCGCAATATCAAAGAAGTTGGCCCACGAAACAAAAATTCAAATTACTCCACCATGTCAATCTTTCACTCCCAAAGAGTCCGATTCTCAATAAAGCTTCATCAAGTGTACAAGTACGACCTAGTACATCCTCGTTTCAATGACCACACCTCTCGTCGACTTTCTCTGGCCTCAGCCGGTCACCAAATACACGCTCACGCCGATATTTATACCCGACGGAGGAAGCAAAGCGTGGAGCACAAATCTGGGAAATAGCTCTTTGGGATGGACGTGAGAGATCAGGAAAAACTTACAAGATGATGCAAGGGAAGGATACAATCTAGAAAGGCGTGAGACCTCGAACTTTGGCCAGGAGACTTACAAATTGAAGAGTATTGTGCGCGCCAATACTTCGATTGCGAGATTGCAGCTGACACTTTAAAAATAAGCCAACGATGGAAAGCGCCGTGTTTTGCTTCCTGGTGGTGTTCTCTGGTATAGTTTGAGTAGCCTGGCCATCTACTCCACTTTGAAAGAAGAAACCTAAGATCATATTTCGCGCGGAGAAAACTCAGTGGATGATGGAGACATGTCTGGATAACTTAGGGCTTTTGAGATGTTCCCCTGGGTTGGTATTCACGGATGAGGGTTGACTTGGGTTGAAGAAAAAGCCACCACAACTTCGCAGTGGTACTTGCAAATGACATCCGAGGCATCAATGCTCCTCCTTTTTGTTGAGTGATATATTTTGTACGGCAACGCGCGTTATCCACCAAACCTCGGCGGCATGACCAATAACATTGCTACATCACTATTTACATGGGAAAGCGCTGGAGCGCAACACCTCCGCGCTCTCCCAGTAGATATTGTAGCTGATTTAAATGCCATTGTAATCCGTAGCGCCGCCCGTGTCATCGCTGGTCGGCCAGTTTTTGAGCAGTCAACAGAAAATTCACAACCGAAAGAAAATACAAAATCCGACATCCCGCCCGCGGTTAAATCATTCTTGTCATACGCCAAAATAGCGAAAAAATTTCTGTCTGCCCAAGTCTATCCGCCCAAAATTACAAAAAGATCTTCATCAGCTTCAAAGCCCGAGCCTGACTCAAGGATTATAGTACGCCTTGCGCCTGATCACCCCTGGCGACACAAAAATTTTCTCAACCTCCGCACAAAGCTGAGAAGCTTTCTAGACCGCCTAGAGCTAATAAAAGACATTCGTTCTATTCCATCAGACACCGCTCATGTAGCTCTCTCCACAGACAAGGCTCCAGAGCTCTTTCAAGTAGCAGTAGCTCTACAGTCCGTAACTGAGATTGTGCCAATTAAAAGGTAAGAAATGCGTCTAGACTTTCTTAGTTCATTTCCAAAATATGGATACATTTCCTCCGGCTCACCTGAGACTCTTTCCGGTGCTGAAATATGGGAGGAGCTAGCAGCTGCCAAAATCGGTTCCAACTCGATACTCTCCATCTCCTGGACGCGCCGCTCGGCAGAATCCCCTGAGTAGGAAGGGACACTATAAATAATATTCTCAAAGCAAGCTTCAGAAAAATTTCCGGTCAGAACTCGGCCAGTGGATATTCGTCCTCGCCTCCAGGTCTACCCTCACTATCACGGCTTCCACAACATCAACACTTGCACACGCCGGGCATTATGTAGTCTTTGCGCGCTAGTCTTTCATAATGGACTGTGCATGATACCTATAAAATCCCAGGATTACGCCGGCCCTCATGAAGCCTCCTCTCCTGGCTGTCCAGCCCGGCCCTTTCGCGCTAATGGGGTCTTTCTTCGGCCAGATGAGGCAAGAATCCATCCAATACGCTAGGAGAAACAAAATGAGTAGCTTGCCCTACATCCTCCCCCGCCGCCTGCTGACCCCTGACAGGAAGTCCATCCTGACAGTTCTCATTGTCAGTGGGCTCGACATCTAGGTTCACTTCTCTAAATACTTTCGACGAATAAATTTGAAGGACTAGAACTCGGCTCAAAGAAAGCAGAAAATTACAATCTCCTGCCCACAATCAATATCGGTAGACCAGGCCCTACTGAGAAGAGTGCTCTCACTTTTAGAAAATTTGCCAGGCTCACGAAATTTTCCGCTACGAGGTTCAATGAACCAACTAAATCTTTTCCAAAAGGAATAAACCTCTCGTGGAACCACCTTTGGACGGAAAAATGGGTTATTTTTTTATATTTAGTGTGTCATTTTTAGAATTTCTCTTACAAATCACGCTTTCTGTTTGAGGCATTTCAAGCAACCGGTACAATTATGTGTCAACTTCTTGTTAGAAGAAAATTAGATACATTAAATTTGGAAATCTGAGTGCCAGACAGCTGATCGGACTCTTTTTAGTTTCTGGGTGACGTAGGGTGCGCTAGTGTGTCGGGTAGCTCTACAGAAACTGAGCTGTCCGGCTCGTGACAATGGTCACGATCTGTGTACTGGCACGACGTTAAATTTAATCAAATTCAAACTCAACAAAGCACATGTAGTCAAGAAAAATAAGCTAGGTCTGGAAGCAAAAAGCGATGGTTAGCTTTCTGCTAGCCGAGACAATCTTTGCCTTCTCTGATGGACCTTCTTCGGGTCCCGGAAAATCAGCTCGGGGATTTGTAGTATACCAAGAATGTAAGCTAGTTGGAAGTGGTTCAGGTCCACTTCCAGGAGCAGAGGTATTTGACGCAGAGATTATAGGCACCATGAAAGCCTTAGAGGCTACAGTAGTGGTTGCAGAAGGCTTACCGATTTACATTCTTCTGAATATCAAAGCGGCTACCCGGGCGCTCGGAAGAGAAAGATCTAACTTCTCTCAGGTAGTTTTGGATAAGTTCTCGTCACTGAGACATATTAAGTTTGTGGAAATACGCTGGATACCTGGTCACATGGGGATTCAAGGCAATAAAGAGGCCGATAAGCTGGCCAAATCAGCCCTGGGAGCTCTCAATAACCGGTCACTAAACTCAGCTACGCCAATTGGAGAAGATCAAAATCTAACAGTCGGAATACTTGGGTGGCATTTATATCATAAGCTTTCTGTAGCAGTAATAACAATTGATGGTTAACATGTATCTTCATTCTTTTCTTCTAACTAAAGAAAAGATGTATATACAGCAGTTGTCCCTCTCTCCTGACGCCATTCCTAAACAGGTAAGTCACTACTCATCAACATAATTAGTTATCATTTCGAAGAAAATACATGAAAGATCATTAAGTCATTAGGTCATTCGACACTAACCTTTGCGGCAATAGAGAGGCGGGTTAAATGGCGCGTCCAAGAGCTAGTGGAAGGGTGGTGCCAGAAGCTTCGGCTGAAACAACATAAAGATCTGGACCTCTTTATGCACTGCATACAGCCGACGGAACTGGCTCTAGCAAGATGGACGTACCACCGTCTAATTGCGGCAAGGACTGGCTACAGGGACTATGCCGACTACCACCGGCGTTTCAACCCTGAGCATGAATATTTGAAGTGCGTTTGCGGCCGAGAGAAAAGGCCCTGGCATTTTTTAGAGTGCCGACCTGCCTTGCAACGTTGGAGAAGCTGTGAGAAAATGGCCCAACCTGGAGCCAGGGAAATGATATGGGAGAAGGGATGGCAGAAGTTCATTCAATTCTTAACTTCAAGCAGATGCTACAGTCTGCCGAAGAATAAACGGGGTGTGAGGTCACCAAGTTGAGATTGTTTCTGACTCGAGAAATGGGGTTGGAAGAGAGGGATGCAACTCAGGACACCGTAAGTCAGACAATTATTTTACCTTTATTTTTCTTTTATTTTGTCACTTCTGGCCATATGGCCGGTTATTTAGGTAGTAATGAGCTGTCTGCTCCATCTACTCGTGCCACATCTAAATAGATGTAAAGTTCTTCCTGTCACGTAAAAGATTTCAAATCCAACCCAACAAAGGCCCGCAAAGACGAACTTTTCGCCTTCCAGTGGTGCCGGTGTAATCGCTCAGTATGCTCTGCATATCTAGGATAGCCAAGAAGAATCGCATCCAAATCGAAGTCGAAAGCACTCACTAGCACATCTAAAATCGACGACTTCTCGTCAATGTCGGATCTATCATTCTCACGCGAGTCCTCCACCTCAATCTCACCACACCACCTCGCCTCGAATACCGATAATTGCGTTACTCCAATTGCAACCGGGAATTGGCCTCATCAGAAATCGGCCATATCCCACAATAAAAGTTACGACGAAATGAATACCCGCGAGGTGGAAAGTAAGTCATAACATACAAAGCTCGGGTCTGAGTCTATTGGGGGGTAATAGCTCTAATTGTGTTAAAAAATCTTGAGGGAGGATAGGCAGCTGGAACATGGAATGAACGAGTGAAGAGGTCACAAATGGTTATGCTTGGACCCACATTTATCGAGGATTTCCGAGATCAGGGTGTCTATGAGCGTCGAGACTACGATTTGGGATAATCCAACGGACATTCTAATAACCAGCAACGAGGAAAGGTGTTGTGGTGCGCCTCCTGGTCGTCATTTTCCCGAATAAAAGTCTGGGTAGCCTGGACACCTACCTCACTCGAGAAAGGGAGAACTGTGAGGCCATATCTCGCGCAGCAGCTATATACAAGGTGGCAAAGGCATTTTACGATGGCCAAAGGATTTTCCTGTTTTCTCTTTGGGGGATACTTGTGAAAGGACGGGACCTGAGCTTCTCGCTGACGTATGCTCAAAACAGAATTTATATTCAATTTATAGAGAATGTCATCTCGGAAGGCATTTCATGAATGTAAGCAACTACGCGTGGCGTAAGACGAGCCTTTACATAAGCAATAACAATGCTTGACCAGAAATGTTATGGCTCAGCAGGCTTACTAAGGCTTGCAGCGGTGATCGGCAAACGTGATACCATTATAGGCTAGGGTTAGGAAATAGTTAATCATCTAGGTATTTGAGAAGCTGGGTACGCGTTGTAATAATTCCTCAGCTTCGCAATTTGTATTATTCGCACATTATTCTAGTTTTCAGAATTCAACTCGTTAGCTATACACTTGTTTCTCTCGTCTCCTCCTCGTCTCGCCTCTGTATCCCATCCACAACTCCCTTCGACTCCCCTTCGGAGACGGCGTTAGTCTACTCGGACGTTCGCCGTAACATTTTGCGAAGCTCCAATGGAGGGAAACGACGCACTACCTAACGACCCCTCATGGCATCAACTCGCAACCTCGTGGGAAGTGATCACCAAGAACTCAACTACTTGTCGATTCGCTCTTCCGTTTGAATTGCCTAGGTCTATTCAGAAATACCCAACTCGAGCACATTCAGCAGGGAAGTCGAAGGTTAGTAGCGATATACCTGTCGACTACGATATCCTCTACCCCCCCTCAGCAACCGATTTGCAAATGAGAGTTGTCGACGAGGCAGTCACTCTTGGCGAAACCTTAGGCCTAGAAACAATGAATCCTGCCAATGCTGTAACACAAAAACTACCTACTTCTGTAGATCAGCTTAGATCTCCAGCCCTGCCCTTTTCTACCCCAGAAAAATTTGATGGAACGCGTGCAAAATTTGAGAACTTTGCCACAGACATGCAGATTAGATTCCGCTCCAACCCCCTAATGTTTAGCACTGAGGAATCTAAAATAATGTACGCGGGATCCTACCTCACAGGTAGCGCGTACAGCTGGTTCAAACCTCACATCAACTCCCTCACTGGTGCTATAACACTTACGAGTTATGCAGTCTTCATGATGTCGCTAGGGGCTGCATTCGACGACCCAGATGCATACGCAACAGTAGAACGCGAACTTGGTTTAATTCGACAAGAGGGCTCGTGCGCAACCTACTGCGCACAGATCGTATCAATTTTCTCTCGATTAGGATGGGAGGAATAGAAAGTCCGAATTCACCATTTTCGTAGAGGCCTCAAAGATTCAGTTAAGGATGCGCTGGTTGGCAAAACTCTTCCATCCACCTTCCCGGAATTTGCCACCATTTGTATATCACTTGACAATTAAATTTTCGCCCGAAATCGTGAGAAGAAGGGTAAACTGCCAAATATAGTACCCTTGTTAAACGCGCCGCCAACCAACAAATCCCCTGCACTAAGTTCAGGTAATTCTCGCCAAACTCCGGTCGTCCAGAACTTTGATCCAATGGAGTTGGATAATTCGGAAGCTGGAAAGGCAGCTCGTAAGGCTTACAGCTAGGCAAATAATTTGTGTGGATACTGTGAGAAGGGGAGGCACAGGGTGGCTACATGCCCAAATCTCGCGGCACGAGATGAGTCGAAAGCCCGAGTCGCAAATACAGAAGTTCAGAATGAAACTTCACTCACCCTATATGAATCAAAAAATTAGTTCAGCTAGAAAATATGCGACGCTTCTCTAGCTCTTCCGTTGTTCAAACTCCCTCAGTCGCACCCCTGTATGTCAATCTTGAAGCCATTCAATCCCCTCCCCTCGATGGATCAAAAACCCCACCAGCAAATCTAGAACCGCCAGATAAGTCTGAAGATTCAGAATCAGCAGTGCATTCTTTCGACTTAGGAAATGAACAGCCACTGATGATTAGTGCAATAATTGAGCACGAGATAAAAGCATCCACTATGGTTGATTCGGGGGCATCAACCTCTTTCATTGACGAGTCCTTTATCAACGCTCATAGTCTTATTCCTCGTCTCAAAAACTTTCCTGAGATAGTGCGGGTAGTGGATGGCAGACAATCATCATCGGGTCGCATTACTCACGAAATAGACTTGTCCCTAGAAATTGGCAACCACAGCGAAATACTGACGTTCCAGGTTACTAGAACTGCTCGTTACAATATTATCCTTGGCAAGTCATGGCTGTCAAAACACGACCTGAGATTAAATGGAGCAGTAACACTCTGTCATTTAAGTCTCGTCTGTGCCGGCAGCACTGTGTAGATCATAGCCACTACCGATCGCGATCCCCTTCCGGTTCTTTAGGTATTAAAGAACGAATTTCTTCGTCTTCGTCTCCTTCGTCTCCTTCATCTTCGTCTCCTTCGTCTTCGTCTCCTTCGTCTTCGTCTCCTTCGTCTTCGTCTTCGCCTTCAATTTCGGATTCATCTTCCACACAATCTTTCCATACCGCTGAGATCAATCATCCCCCAGAAATCTACCCAATCTCAGTAACGGCACTCCATAAATACTCAAAGCGCCCAGAATATCAATTATTCTCTGTCTCCATCCAAGACATCTCAGAATTTTTGAAAAAGCCCGTCAAATCGGAAGAAGAGGAGATGCACGATCTACGCAAGCAAGTACCTGCCCAATTCTATGAATTCCTTACTATATTCTCATCTAGAGAAGCGGAAAATATCCCCCCACACCGGTATATTGATCATGAGATCCCAATCGAGAAGGATCGAAAGCTTTCATTAGGGCCGCTATATTCTGTCAGATGCGGAATTGGAAGCAATACGAGAATATTTACGCGATAACTTAGAGAAAGGCTTCATTGAACCCTCTACGTCATCCTTTGCGTCACCTGTTCTCTTTGTGAAAAAACCAGGGGGAGGGCTTCGCTTTTGTGTTGACTATCGGGCGCTGAATAATGTTACGGCGAACGTCCGAGTAGACTAACGCCGTCTCCGAAGGGGAGTCGAAGGGAGTTGTGGATGGGATACAGAGGCGAGACGAGGAGGAGACGAGAGAAACAAGTGTATAGCTAACGAGTTGAATTCTGAAAACTAGAACAATGTGCGAATAATACAAATTGCGAAGCTGGGGAATTATTACAACGCGTACCCAGCTTCTCAAATACCCAGATGATTATTAACTATTTCCTAACCCTAGCCTATAATGGTATCGCGTTTGCCGATCACCGCTGCAAGCCTTAGTAAGCCTGCTGAGCCATAACAAGAAAGGTGTAAGTGCTTCGCAAGGGACCGGATAAACTCAGGTTCCAAACTAGCATGGCTACATCTTGTAACAATAGTAAAGGTTGAGGGAAGGATTAAAGCCACTAGCACAAAGGTCTCAAATGGTATCGGCGAATGTACACACAACATGAGTGGTCCAAATGTCAAACGGAGTTATCGCCGTACATAGTCATCGGGGAAGGACTAGCCTTCACCCCATCATGCTCTATGAGTGCAGGGCTTGTGCCCATCACGAAAACAAATCTATCCACTCACATCCACAAGACAATACTCACTATTATTCTTGTCTAAAATTCAATTCCTCGAATCTAGAGCCCACTCGATATATGATTCGTCTCAGTTTCCTGTTGGAAATCTAGATTCAATATGTATGAAGGTTGGGATTTCTAAGTTCGATCATCAAGATCAGCTAGATTGATTCGATTTCATATAAAATAAGCTTGGCTAGGAGACATTAGGCTCGGCGGTACGCGAAAAATAGTGGCTGGGAAATGCTAGATCACTCGGAGTTCGCGATCAATAAAGTCTTTGAAATTTGTATTTAATGATACACTTTTTCTCCCATGCGAACTTGAGGTAACAGCGTGTTACATGATATTAAGTCACAATGAGAAGAGAGTTAAATATCTCATTCAACTTTCCATAGAAGCCTTGTCCAAAATTGTAGACTTGTTCTTCGAGATATTTCTTTCTAGAAATCCTTCGAAACTTCTAACATCTCTACACAGAATAGACTCTGTCAACAAACGTCTTTGTCAGACCAGGATCAGAACCCAATGAAATCTGTATTCCTGACTTATTGTTTCGTGATTCATGTAAACGCCATTCATCGAACATGATCGTTTTATTATTTTCAGAATACCATGCCATGCCAGTACCTGACATAAATTGTGGTTGTCTCAGGGAAAACCTTGGGCTTTTGGGTAATTTTCAGCTTGAAAGTGATTGGTTTCTGTCTATCAGACGTGGTGGACTGGTTTTGAGTCGTTTTAGGATTATATCTTGGCTACAACGTGTTTTGATTGTGTCTTGTGATGTGAGGAATCTATCTCTAGATATTATTATCATTTGTCAGGTAATAGATATGTGTAGATACGTAAGCTGAGAGAAAGAGGCAGGAAGATAGGCTATAACATCTTTTTATTTACTTCAACTGAAAGCTCCTATACGAGCTATTCTTCCAGATACCTCCAGTCTCAATCATTAAAGCTTCCGAACCGGCTCATAAGATTCGACAGTCTCGCACACGCTAACCACACCTGCTATTGCATTTTCTTGCATCAGATTTTAATTGCCTGTCCGGCTTTCTATCAATGACATAATTTTAGAGATAAAGCACAAAACAAATGACTCTGTTTAAGAATATATCTCCCATTCGTGGGATTTCATTCGCAAGTACCACTCCAAGGTTATAGTGGCTTTTTCTTCACCCTGAGTAAGCCCTTATCCATGAGTACTCGCCCAAGGAAAATTCACATCGACCCGAAGTTATCTAGACATACCTCCATCATCCATTGACTAGTCTCCGCGCGAAATATAATTTCAGACTTCATATTCTTAAGTGAGGCAGGCGTCTAGGCTACTCAAGCTATGTCAGAGAGCACCACCAGGAGCTGGACCACTACATCTTCCATCCTTGGCCTGTGTTTATAGTGACAGCTGCACATTAGCAATCACTGGATTGAGATACTCAATGCTCTTTGACTTGCCAATATCCTTTCCAAAGCCCAGCTCCCACACCCATCGAGATAGTATCCGACTCTTGCAGCATCATCTTGTAAACTTGCTCTGATCCCTCTCAGGTCAGTCCGAAAGATCTTCCTCCCAAATTTGTGCGCCACAATTTTTATCCTCCCACGAGTATTCGTATAGTCGTGTGCGTGTACTTGGTGGCCAGCTGAGGCTAGGGAATGGCTGATGAGAGGTGTGGTCATTGAAATGAGAATTTACTAGATCGTACTTGAAGACTTGATGAGGCTTTGGTCAGAAATAAGTCTCTTTGGTTGTGAAAATTCGATTTAACTTGGCCCGAGAAGATTTCGCTCCCAATTTCGTACTGGAGACCCCGCACGGGTATTTAGTGTTGGTCCTCCAATCGGGGGGATTTACTTCGCCGCATTTGCAGGTGTGACGAAAACCGAGTTGGTGATGAATAAATCGATTTATTAAACTACATGAAGAGAAAAGAAACCTCTGGCTACCACTAGCAGGTACTTGAAACGTTTGATCCGCTTCGTGAATCTGCTGATTGATAACTTTCCCCTAGGCCTGATACCTGCTACCGAGCCAAGTATTATCAGGAGCCATTACGCTATGATGTTGCTTTGATCTCATGGCCAGTAGTGCCATTAAATCTATATTTTTCCATCCTCCCTCTTTCAATCTTGTCGTAATTATTCCGAACTAAACGCTTAGGTTTCCTCCTAAACATAAACAACGGTCAAGCCGTAACAGTAGGTCTAAATCTTGAGATTAGGCTGGACAAGCAACCGACTATCTTTCATCCACCAGCTCTCGCCTTTGCTCATATATTATACCAAGAAGATGTCTAGGGCTGATTTTTCTGATTATCTCCGACTGCAAAAGCTCATTAATTTTAATCACGTGATATTTATTGTATACAATATAACTAGCATACCTAAAGAATGAAGTCCGCACGCGGCGACTTTGCGGAATATCATCGAAGGTTTCAGCAAGAAAACGCCATTCTGACCTCTTCATGTTGACAGTAGGAATCCCCCGATCACTTCTTCTTCTGCCATATTGGGCAGTACCAGAATCGGCTAAAGAGGACCCAAAATCTACTCCCAACATATCTTGGGCTCTGGCTTCAGTAGAGGGAGTTCACGCCTTTAATAGCTGAGTACGTACCACAGGTTTCTTCATAGAGATACAACAGCAAGTTTGACTAGACTTGAACCGCTGAATAGAAGGCTAGAGAGCCTCAGATTGATATAAATACATTCTCTTTTTTTTCCATTTTAACGTTTCCCTATAACTACCACCCGTAAATCATGGGGTCCGGTAAGAGGCTGATGTTCATGTTCAATTTAATCTTCGAGCGCAGGATGATGAGTTCCTGGCCTTCTATTGCTATGTTGGGTCTGTGTAAGCGCCAACACGTCGGGTAGTTAAATTTAGACTGGGCTAACCGGTACGTGAAGAGCTAACGTGCTGTGCGCGGGTACGCCGGTATAATAAATACGTTATTCAATTGTCCTGATTTGGCGCCTTGAGGCCCATGCAGGTTTTATCGGAAGATATGTACTTCAGGCAGGATGACTCAATTTGACGTATAGAACACTCACACTCAGATTTTATTTGCAGATATTGCTCGTGGTCAACCCTTACGGCGTATAACCTCTTCCATGCATACCCACCACAGGGAAAAACATGAAAAACCCATGGTTATCCGAGTGTGCTTTCATCACCCCACAAATGCAATATTATGGCGAGAGAGTGTGATGTGTGGGTTTTACTGGGGGCACGACGTTAATATAAACAAATAAATAATGAAACCTTCACGCTCAGCCATCACGACACCGAATATTCGCTTGGAGTTTTAGCGCGGTAAGAGCTTTTGCGTCTGCCCTCACATTTCCCTTTTTATTCGAGTGTCCTGGCCCTAACTTACTTGAAGGTTAGCTTTTCGTGCAATCTCATGGAATGTACAAATCAAACGGATAGTGGAAGAGATAATTCCCGTCTATTGATGGCTATGAATAACCAGTACGGAATTTGGACGGAGATGTGTTCCTGGCCATAAACAGGGGCTTGTCACATGCACCTGTGCCGATTGTTCTGGTCAGCGCCTGTTGTCTATATTTAGATCTGCCACCATTTATCCCTGGCGCCTATCTAATTTTAGAGTATCATAGATCATATTTTTTGCATCAGATTTTAATTGCGTATGCAGCTATCTAGCTATGACACAATATCAAAGAAAAGAATAGAATAAATGGTAGATCAGATTCATGATCTTAAGCGTGTATAGTTTGAGTTCGACCCTGATCGGGGGACAAAGTATATTATATCCTCAGCTTTTATCCTTTCAGATTATTTTAACCTACCATAGGACTGGTATCCGAGTTTTCTGAAACCGTCTCGAAAGCCATGCAGCTGCTTGGTCGGCTTCTAGCATGGCTGTCCTCTTTAACCTCGCAGCAGTAACAACTCGTAGAATCACTGTAAATCCGACAAGCTCGGTTTTAAAGGTCTCGCATCCATGTAGAATGCCATGCTATTTCTCAAAGGAGGCGTAGATGTGGGAGGCGAGAAACACCTGAGCATCTTTTGCTAAGCTGCAGTAACTATAGGCATGAAAGAATGGAATCTCAAAAGAGCCTTATTGGGAACTAACTCAGCCTTAAACCATTGCTGAGCCCAAAGATTGGCATCGAAAAAGCCTGGATTGTATCAGGAAAACTAATATGTAAACGAGGAGGTGGAAGTTGGAGAAGCAGCATGAATAGTTGCGTCAAATAAAAAGTGATAGAGAAGGGATAAGGAAAATACTAATTTAGGGCAAGATCCGCAGTGTCTACTGGAAAAAATTGAAAACAAACCACATGTAAAGACAAGTAAACTTTGGCAGCGTTTTGTGGAGTCTTACCAGGCCTTCATAGACTCAGTAGGGACTTCAATTCTATTCCATTATTTCTCAAAGGTAACACCTCCTCGTCCAAGCACACCGGCCCACGGTAATCGGCCCAGGGTTTCCGAGGATCCCTTGGAATAAGCAGATATCCAAGACTGGGGGATCTTCTTGGCACACGTTTGCTGCGCCTCGGTACCATCTAACTCTGATCAAAGCTCCCATGAAGAACACTAATTACAGTAATAAATCAGCTTGCACCGTCCAGGCTGCGCAAAACGCCCATTTTCCTAGCCTTTTGCCTTTGGGGAAGCCAACTCGGAGCATTTTGGCTATGCTCCCGATTCATGCGTCGTGTACTTGGGAACCCGGGAGAGGGCTTCGTCTCTCATGGGATGATCTCCTTCTAATCTTCGTCATTTTGGCCTTCCATTAAATCCTCAAAGTGCCGTAAACAGCTAGATGTGTAGTGCGAGCCTACAATTGATCTGATCAAAATTCAAATGCAGCCAATGCTCAAGCGGGAAGACGTGATATTCCTCAATCCCCACATTTTGGGTCGCAACAATGAGGTGTGCGATCATAGCACTCTAGATTTGACGTCACGGGGTTTGTTGTTTTATCCATGCAAAACTTGATGATACTCAATGCGACGAGATTCCTACTGTCTATTACTGATGCATTATCATTCCTCCTCGTTTCGAATGTTATTGCGGAATGAAGGTACTGACTACCGCAGGCCAGAGATTTCTAGGTCTACGGCAGTATTAACTCTCTTATGTCGCCTTTACAACCCTCTTCCAACAGTACCACTCCTCACAAGCCTCCATCAAACAAAACACTTGGAAGAGCCATTTGCTACTTTGTACCTCTCTCTCCAATATTCCAGAGAAGGCTACCTACAGATGTATAACTTGAAAAGTCTCATTGCCTTTCAGGTGCGGGGCTCCTCCAATGTTACATGGGGGTTAAATCTGAAGATATAGGTTGTGCTCCGAAACGGTCCAAGAGGCAGAACGCATGGAGCTGTTAACTTTTGTCAACATCAGAAAGTCGCGAGCGACTTTCCCATGTTACTCTAGCCTTGGTATAAAATGAATGTCGTGCCAAGACGTCGGTTTCTTGGAACAGAGTGAACGATGGCAAGCAGATTTACATAGTCTGATTACACAGCTAGCAACTGCCGAATACTGTAGAACCATGAAAACGTGTACTTTTTCCTATTAAACTTAATATTAATTTTAATACTCTTTCTTGAGAAAAGAAGATTTATGGAGAATACTGCGGGAAGACCTCGAGTCTTTGTCTCCTTTTTCTAATTCTCTTATGAGGTGGAAAGTGTGTTGTTTACTTTGATCTCTGGTTCCAATGAAAACTTTCCATAAACACTCATTAGTGCATAGGGTTATTAGACTGTTTACTGCTCCGCAACTTGAGCGGCGCAATGGAAGAGCCATCTTAGTTTGTCTTTAACGTTCTACGTAACAATAGTTGATTCTTTTAGTTATCTTAAATCTTCCGTAGCTGGATAATACAGCCCACTCTGCTACATTTAGTAAAAGAAACATCATGACTTGAGATGTCAACATTCGGCATAATCAGATCAAAATTTAGGGAGTAGCCTCTTTATTAAGATATTAAGTATTAAAGAACCACTAAAAACTAGACTCTCTAGATATTTACATAGCTAAATTCCCCGCAATAAAAGCCGATTTTTCGAAGTCATTCGTAGCATCATCTAGGGCCAGCCACCCAGTCTAAATTTATTTGCCAGAGATGTTTTTTCGGGTTTTTGAGAATGTTTGTCTTTTCGTCCCAAGATAAATATCACTGTCCAAGATAGAAAAGCTAACAACATGACAGCCATTGTACACCATGTCAGTGCTAGGTATTTTTGGCCCTTGTAAGCGTAAACCCCAATCATGTTTCCCTTCTCTTGAACAACCTTCATCGTCCTAGAGTTAATAACACTTATTATAATAGAGGCTATAAAAAGCGCTAAGAAGCTCACACCTGCTAGCAAAAGGTTCGCCATTATTAGAAGTGTAGCGCTACTGACAAATAAAGTTATTAAACTGGTAAATATTAGAATGCCTGTGGCGGCGATACTGATTGAGTACAAGGCAACTGCTGCTTGAAGGGCTGTCGAGAGTTGATCGATTACTTTTTGGATCTCATCCGGCCAATGAAGATCTTTGAGACTTATGCGAAGAGGGCCCATTCCAAGTTGCTGATCGAGCACATCGGCAATATTAAAGTGAACTGCACTTATATTAGTAAAGACGAATCAAATATATAATCGACCTCCTACATCCTGAAGTCGGGTTCGAGCATTCTACGACTTGGTACATCACCGGCCGCGCTTTTGGGCTCGGCTTGTAGTTCCCTTCGCAGAAATTCATAGCATGCCATCCGTACCACTGATTAATACCCAAGTCATGTGCTAGTTCATCAACCACATCACCAATAATGTCATTTAATTGATTTGTAGCGCCATTTATATTTTGAGGGATAAAAGGGAACAGATTATTGACAACGGCCGGAGTTTTAGTATTCGGTATGAGATTGTGTCCCAAGGTGGACGTATTCAACTATCGCAGGAACTATGTTAGCTTATGGTTCTTATCTCGGCCCCACTGGCGGAGCATTTAAGTGGACTTACAGTCACGAGGTTGTAATCATCCATAAATCCAGGCTTACTTCCTGCGAATATGCAGAGAAAAGATAGCACCAGACCTGCGATAGTGCACAACAACGGAACCAGTACTAGTGCTCGCATGTTGGCAAATTTGTGTCTAGTTTGGACCGTTAAGTGAATACAACAGTTGTGATACAGCTTAAAGTTATAGATCCTGGTGAAGGTGGATGGCCCAGAAGATAATAATTAATCCTTTGACTCGGCAATATATTATCGTTGACTGCGAGGTAATCGGGAGCCGTTTGTGTATATATATATAAACAACAGAGTTTCTAACTTCAAGCCAAAAAACCAAACAGCGACGCCAAGAATTTATAAGTCTAGCACCAAGGGTTCCATAGGAGGCGACATCAGGCCTCGGATGAAAGATACGTCAACCCTGCTAGGCGAAACTGGGGATATGCAGTAGCTACTTGCTTGATGGAGAAATATAGACTAGTATGGCACTAAGCTTGCATGCTTACGTCAATGTCTATAATTGCCACCAGCCGTATTGATTGTGCCGTCTTCCCATGGTGGCCTAGCTTTGACATAATCAATGTAAAGGGCTTAACAGTGGCAGCTGTCAAGCCCGTATTTGCTACTTGATAATGTTTAGATCTACAGAGTTTGTTGACAAGGTGAACCTGACCTAATGATATTTGAAATTGTTAGCTGTCACTACACTAACACTGTAAAGATGGACTTATTCAAAACCACTTCGCAGTTCTAGAAGCAGAGGATTTTAAAGGTTTTAAAAATCAGGGGGTTATTATGTCTTATCCCTCCCTGGTCCGGAGGTGATAAGCCTTGAAGCACGCACATGTCACGGGCTAATTGTTTACAGCGTATATACTAGATTGAAATTTTATGTTCAGCTATGATAGATATTCTCTACGCGCTTAATTTCAGTAAATAACGAAGGACAAAGAATATCTAAAAACTTTATACTAGCCAATTTAAGTGCAGCAAACTATCTAGCAGATCAAACAATAGAAAACCTCCCATCATCCTCCTTCCAATCAAAACAAGCTTGGTCATTTCGGCAATATGCTTGCTATTTTAACTATATAGTATCGTTGGTGCAGTAGTGATTGCGACGAGCGATGAGTGCATTTTCAGCTATTAAGGTAACCTCTAATTGCATCTTGAAGTTTATTTGCTCCTTCACCCAGCACCTGTGTTAAATTCTCTAGGTCGTCGCCAGCTGTAACTCCAAATTTGCGAACAAAATCTTTGGCTGCAGTTTCAATGTCCCCATAGTCCTCTGTACTGACTTCATCTGGCCGTCCGAAATAAGCATTCGAAGAAATTGCGGAGGCGCCCTCAAAGTCTTGAAGCCTTTGCTTTGCTTCATTTTTGCTAGAGGGATCGAAGTCACCTTTTCCGAAAAACTCGTCTGAAGATATACCTTTTTGGGAGCCAAACTTCTGTCGTGCATATTTTTCAGTGTCGTCTGGCATGGAATTAGGCACTCATCAGTTTATGCGAAACGTGATACTTACCTTCTTGAGTGGCCCTAATGGGACCAACTGAGCCAAATCCAGTTGTGACTTTAGCAGTTACGTTTGCCGGTTTGTTTCCCCCAATTTGCCCGAATCCTAGCCTACTGACGCCCATACCTAGCCTATTTACATCACTTATAGAGCCCGTTCTAGTCTCACTGTAACTTCCTCTCTTAGGACTGGTTGAGCTGAATGATGAAGAATTTGCTTGTTTTATAGCTTGAGAAGTTGATACGTGATTAGAATTTTCCTCGGCATCAGGGTCATATCCCAATTTTGCTATTCTTTCTGCCTCTTCTTTGGCTTTTCTTTCTGCCGCATCAAAATCAATGAAATCCCCAGTTACTTTCTTGGCACCAAGTTTTGTTTTCTTAGCTCCTAAAACATTTGCTTTACGTGGTCCAGATCCAGCAGGGCCTATTTTTCGAAGAGCAGCGGATGAGGTGATGCGATTAGCTAGAGGTATGGTATTCCTCTCTGATCCAGGCTGAGGCGATGAAGATCTTGAATTTCCATTCTTAGAATTTAGAAAGGGAGATGCAGGTCGGCCTGTTATAGGCGGCGTCGAAGTTCTTGAGATAGGAGGCGTCGGTCGCTTTATGGAAGGCTTATCCCATGAAGAAAAAAAGTCATCTTCTAGGTCTGGATTTGGTGCTGAGTTGGTGTTTTGTGAAGCGTTAGTTGTAGTTTCGGTAACAACGACAATGTTAGGGTATCTAAGCTTTCATCAGAAAATGCTAGTGAAGTAGATAAATCCATACTCAATAGCATCTTTCTCGGATCGGCGCTGTATTTCAGCTTTATACTTAACTGCTACATGACCACCATATTTTGTGGTCGGGTTTTTACTATTCAGAGCGACGGTGCCGCCATTTGCCTTAAAGAATTTTGTGGCTGATTCATTACCCCCGACTTTCATTTTCCGCAACTGTTCCCACTGCCATTCTGAATTTCATGTTAGCATTTGCATTGTGCGGTTAGTAATTACTGATGCCTACGATCAAGGTTGGTTGATCGTACGAATGAAATATGAACTCCTAGATTTCTGTGGTTCGAAGAGCAGTCAAGGCAAAGATATATAGCGAATGGTACGGATGTCCATGTCGGGTTTTTTTGTCCACAATCAAAGCATACCTATCACAAGTTAACATAATATATTGACCATTCATTCTGAAGTATTATTCTATACCCTGTTCGGTGGTTTTGTTTTCAACTTTTCAAAAATCTTTTGTGATTCAGCCTTTGGCGCCAAACTTCTGTCTTCGGTCATGCTTTTTAACCCTAATAAGTTTAATCAACTTGCTGAAAGTGAGGATATTAAAAAGGGCTTTCGATCACTTCAAGCTAATAGCTCTCTGATGGACACATTGCTAATTCCACGTCAACAATAAGCGGAAGCCACTACTCCAAACATAGTTAGCGTGCTTCTCCACACGAATCATAAGCGTTGCCATCTGAAATCTAAACTGTCTGGAGTATGTTGGAGAACAGAAACAAGACGCCTCGCTGTGGTGTTCAATACAAACCAGAGGGTGAAATGTTCTTTTAGATCTGTGTTCTGTCAAATCTCACCGCGGTGAGCAGATTTCTATACGAGAAGCCGATTTAAGAAACCCCTCCATATCAACCTCTCACTCCCAACAAAATAGAAATCCAAAGACTCATCAAGTCTGCAAGTAAAATCTTGCCTATCCTCGTTTTAATCACCAAAACTCTTATCGACTTATTCTCTGGCCTTAGCTGGCCTCCAAATTTACACACATGACTGTATGAACGGCCTAAGAGGAAATAGATCACGGCGCATATATCTTAGTGGCATATCCATGAGATTAACGAGAAAGATATCAGTAGTGAAATAAAAGATGACCCAGGTAATGAATAAAACCTCAAAAGCCGTCAAACGTGAAACTTTCAGCAAGCTCTGGCATAGATGTGCTTCGTGTGATTAAAGCCTTCGATAGCGAGACTTTAGGCAATAATCCATACATAACTATCATTGGATGCTGCATTAACCCAGAGTTCGGATAGGTCTACTAAGTAGATTCTACACTGGGCACCTATCTTGTACGAGACAGGATCGCCAGTTTGAATCCAGCAAAGCTCGGCCATATTTCTCGAAGTACTCGCTTGCATAGATCACAAGGCATGGTTTTATGGCCAAAGATTTTTAATTTTCATTATGGTGGAGGCCACCATAGCGAGAAGTGATGATCCGAACGAAATGTATGAAGTTTACGATGACCACCTAAATAATGACTATGCAGGAAAACTCGACGATGCGGATGAAAAGGGTTTATAAAAGAAAGATGTTCTATTGGTGAGTGATTTAACAGGTCCTGAAATCAACATTGCACAGGGGCCACCTTCAGTGAATGGAAAGACTTCGTGCAGAAGATCCAGTAACAGGTGCTCTCGGAGCTGGGTTGACTATTTTATGTAAACAAACATACCTCAGTGGTATTCACAAACGAAATATAGAGGACGAGTGTCCCTGCTGCCTTACAATAGATGTAACTTGTAAATAAGGCACTGGTTATGTGTCAGAGCGGGTTGGATGATGCAGTGGTACACCATCCGGGCCGTTCTCCCAAGTAGAATCTGGGGAGCTTGAACATTTACCCCATTTGAGACAGGAGAAAGCTAGTTCGAATCCAGTAAAGCCCACACATCACTCTCTCTCGCGATGATATTGTATTTGTGGGGTGATGAAAGCATAATCGAACAGCCATATGTTTTTCATGCTTTTCCCTGTGGTGGGTATGCATGGAAGAGGTTATACGCCGTAAGGGTTGACCTCGAGCAATATCTGCAAATGAAATCTGAGTGTGAGTGTTCTACACGTCAAATTGAGTCATCCTGCTTGAAGTACATATCTTCCGATAAAACCTGCATGGGCCTCGAGGCGCCAAATCAGACAGCTGAGAAATTTATTTATTTATTTATCCCTTATCTTATGCCCAGACTCCGACGTGAACATAATGACATATGCATTACAATTTATCAGAGCCTCGTACTAATGTAGAGGTCTGTCAATCTGGGACCCTCGCTATTACCGGGTAAACCCCGTATAGGTGCCCTCGTTGTCTAGAGAGCTCCGTGGAACGTGGACAGAGATTTTGGATCAAATATTCTCGATTCCTATATTTATCGGTACTAACCTAGTGAAGTCTCCGGCTATGTTACGACTTATGAACTTCTTTACGAGATGAAGGAACTCCAATGAAATCTAGACCGTTATTTAGAGGGGGACTATTTTCAACACCTGTCGGTGGCGTCCCCTACGAACCTCCAGCTCCCGCTGTAGAGTCTGCAGAGCCGATATTAAGTAACAAAGTCCTCACTTCGACGAGGATTCCCAATCGCTTTCGCCGTCTGTATCGTCTTCACCTCTCAAAACATCCCCCTATCACCATTATCATGAAGCTAACTACGATCAGATCAGATGGTAGGGTCGGAGCCCTACTCATCACCAACCCTTGATCATGAAGGAAAAGCCATCCCATGAGTTTCCGGAGCGTTCCCAGCATTCGACCCGGAGATGGCGGATTGGATCAGGTCGGCCTCGACTGTTACAAAGAAGGGAGATATAGATGAATATGCGCTCCTCATGTGGTCCCGGTGTCTAGGCCTCGCCTGGCTGGGGCTGCAGGTTTTTTGAGACTTTTTCCCGCGCACGCAGTTTCCGTTGCTACCATTTTATTTTTTTTGGGTAGAATGTTCCGTGGAAAAGGTGGCAGAATACCACGGGTAAATACTGAGCTGAATGGCCATTCATCACGGGCAATATATCAATGATCTTACAAGTAACAAAAGGGAATAGGAGCACTGTACAAGGTGTGGCCTGGGTCAGAGAGGAGCCCAATATGCTAGATATTCATAGACTCAAGTAGCACAATAAAACACACACCAATGGTGTTCAGACATACATACATACGTTGTTGCCAGTACGTCTTTGATCAACCAGTACGAAGTGATGAATTTTCCGAGCTAGTATCAATGAAAATACCGACCACAAATCTGTCGGGCTGACAATTGATCGCACGTGAATCATTCTATCTCCGTTTGTGGAAAGTTCCAATCTTTGAAGAAACATGACATAAGAAATTTGAAAGTTGGCACTGCTGATAGACACGCGTTAGTATGGTTCCTCTGTGAGTTAGATAGAGGAGGTATCGTGGTATCTATCGAGCTTCGAAAAAATGTTTAACGCGTTAAGTAGCTACGAATTAATAAGACTTGGCGGCTCCTTCTTAATTCCACAACTCATGCCCATGAAATCTGACTTATGAGATTGTATAGTTTACTTAAAATTGTTTACTTTTCTTCAAGGTCCAGCTTAAGTATCAAGTAAACATTAGTGCTGAACCTATATCTTCAGCCAACGCCATGGCTAACCATCATGAATTTCAACCACACCTTCAATCGCAATTTCAGTATCAACATTCTTCCTACCAACCTCCGAACCAAGGGCAGCAATATCAATACCAACCAGCGCCGCCACTTAACTACCAATATCCACCCCACCCACAGAATCCATATCCTCCTCCACAGCCACATCCTCCGACAAACAATAGACCATCACATTATGACCACAGCATGGGAGCTATTGGATTTGTCGATAGTTTCAAGGTTGAAGAACCCAAATTCCGGGATTTGTGGGCAGCATTGTTGTTTCTAGCTACATTTTCGGGATTTGTCGTGGTCTCGGTTCTCAGTTTGCGCAGACACAATTCAAAGGCTAGCACGCAGCAAATAACTTCACTTAATGGAAAGGAAAATATTAAAGTAGTGCCAGATCTAAACATTATGCTACTATTGTAAGTTATCCCAAGAGTATCCATACTTTAGTAGTCTACTGAAGATAGTGTTGAAAGTGTATTTATTCTCTGTGTTGCCCTTTTTACATCTATGATATACTTCTGGATAATAAGAGTCTTCACAAAGCAAGCCATATGGATTACCGGAATTCTACAAATTTTATTTGGTCTAGGTACAGCTGCCTACTATATTTTACACCGGGTAAGTAGAACGAAAAAATAACGGCGGACGTTAATATTTTTATAGTATTGGGGTGCCGGAATCACCTTCCTTATTTTCACAGCTTTTTATGTCGTCTCTTTCATAAGCTGGGTTCCCCGAATTCCTTTCAGTGTATTAATGTTGCAGACTGTAATGGATGTTTCCAAGACTTACGGTCATGTGTTCATGGTATCGCTACTTGGTAGCTTGAGTGCAGCTGCGTTTGGGGTCTGGTTTTCTATAACTCTAGTGTCGGTCTATGCTAATTATTATCCTGGGAGTAAAAGTTGTGAAGGTGGCATGAATTCTTGTTCAATGGCAAAGGTAGTTGGCCTACTAGTATTCATAACCTTTGTTGGATACTGGACCACCGAAATTATTAAAAATATCATCCATGTCTCTATCTCAGGGGTTTATGGTTCTTGGTACTTCTTTGGGCAGAAGCCAGAAGGAGTACCAAATGGACCAACTCGAGGCGCATTAAAGCGGGCTGTAACATATAGCTTTGGAAGCGTCAGTCTGGGTAGTCTTCTTGTTTCTCTTATCCAGATGTTTCGCCAGGCTTGCTCTATTGCCAAGTGAGTCTACCAATACCCGTTATATATTATCATGAACTAATGTGGACTTGCAGGCAAACCGAAGAGGCTCAAGGTAATATCCTAGGCATGTGCTTTTTTTGCTGCATGGGCTTCTTGATAGATCTTCTTAATTGGGCTGTTCAGTTTCTAAACGAATATGCGTTCAGTTATATAGCACTTTATGGGAAAAGTTATTTTCCGGTTTGTCCCCATTTATTTTTCTGGAAAATTCTAAAAAGATAATTTTATTTTTGTCTTCATGCGTTTAACTTATTGATCCCTTCATTCGAATGACTTGTTTTGTTGAAGCGCAACTGCTAACAGGACTGAACAGGCTGCAAGAGTAAGGACATTATTAAGTTACTTGCTGATTCTTCACTAACCCTTTCAGGCGACTTGGAAAATGATTAAAGACAGGGGAGTCGACGTCCTTATAAATGAATGTTTGATCAATCCAGTTTTAACTATGGGAGCTGTATTTGTGGCTTACACTACGTCACTATTTGCTATTATCTACTTAAACTTCGCAACAACAAAAAGCCAAAATGAAAGGGATTTTAGCTCTATTGTCATGGCATTTTCATTTCTTATAGGTCTTCAAATCGCTAATACCTTCTTGGTTCCTATTAAGAGTGGTGTTGCGACCCTTTTTGTTGCCATTGCATTTGATCCTCATGTGCTAATTCACGAGCATGGCGATTTGTGGCAAAAGATGGTTCAGGTTTATCCACATGTTCAGGTTGCAATTCATGCATAAAAAATACTTAAAACATCAAAGCACAAAAAGCTACTTTGTGAGTCTGGACAATCAAACGATCTGGACGGTGACGTGCAGAATTAAGGGTACTCATCAAATTGCGGTTACGATCATACATAAAAGCGTCGCTCAGAAAGTTGAGGGGTATAACAGCAACAGCAATCTGTATGTTCCATTTGATTTAGGGGTCAGGTCCTATTGTAGCCTTTCAAACTATCAGAAAGCTTGAACAGCGTATCCAGTACTCATTAGTCAGCGAAAATATTATTCTGATGCAAAATCGTTTACCAGATATCATGGTCATGGTAATCGTTAGGAACTGTAAATTCTTTCTAGCGTCAAAAATTAATTCCTCACAGGCTATTTAGCATGACATAACTTCAGAGATGAAGCACAGGGTAAATGAATTGATTTAAGGAGGGCGAAGAGAAAACAATTGTGAGCGGTGTCCTCATCAACCCTGGTAGTATATTATTCTCCCGGATCCAACTTCAGTCGAAGCTCGTGATACTTGTCACGGGCTGGCGTTGTATAAATACTCGGATGTTCAGAATAGATAATTGTAGTTGCACAATGAACGAAACTAATCTACAAGCAGAGATCTAAATCTTAGTATCCTCGCTTGGAGTTACGCCATAATACTCACGTGATCACGCCCTAACATGTTACCCCTGTGACACAACCTCCCCTTTAAACAAGAGCCTCACTCTTGTTCCATGAGAAAAAAAAGATAAAGAGAAGCAATTGGATAAAAAGATAACACTCTCACCTGCGTTTTAGCCATGGACGTGGAGCTCCTGCTTGTGGATTTTGTTTATGAAACTTCCAGAGTGCGTCATCACACCCCTTTAAATGCTATGCAGGTTCCCATGTTGTGTCGCCTGCAGTCCACTGAACTTGATAGTACCAACAATTATTTTGCATCTTTTCGTATCCTACAATTTTATCGAAGTGATAATCTACCACATCTCTCTGGCTATCTGTTCTTACAATTGTTCTGCCTTCATTTGCTTTTATATCCTCGTCTTCTTGCCCTGGTGCTCGCTCACTCGATCTCAATTGAAAGTTAGAGACGTGAAAAGTTGGATAGATATTTATATTTTGTTGTAGATCTACCGTTACGGTGTGTGGCGAGGTTCTTGTGACACGAAATGGACTTTCCAATCGTGGGTTGAGTTTTTCAAGAGGTCGCCCCATATTCCAGTTCTGAGTGCTTATCATAACCATATCTCCAATATGATATTCTGGTGCGTCCGAAAGATGCAAATTTGCATTTTTTTCATAACGGTCTTGAGAAATCTTGGACAAGGTCTTAACGTGATCAAGAATGGTTTTAAATCTATTAGCTATCTCATGAGCCTTAAAAATTCTTTCCGCTGAGCTTCCGATGGCATTGGGGCTGCTGGTATTTGAGCTTCAATGCCCAACTTTGGATTGTAACCATAATTGGCAAAGAAAGGACTAACCCCTGTTGTTGAGGATATAGCATTATTCCCCGCGAATTCAGCTAGCGGCAGCCACAAAGCTCAGTCATCTTGAGCCCAGTTTACATAAATTCGTAGAAATTGTTCTACTTCAGCATTGACCCGCTCTATTTGTCCATTCGTTTCTAGGTTATATGCAGAAGAGGGCTTGAGAACAGTTTCCAGTCTTTGGGATAGAGATTTCCAGAATGTGGAGATAAATTGAGACCCTCGATCGGAGACAATCCGCTCTGGTGAACCATGCAGCGACCAAATTTTTTCGATAAATATTTCGGCCAGCTCCTCTGCGGATAGAGTCTCCGTTGGAAGAAAGTAACGCATTTTTGTAAGTCGATCTACAACAACAGCAATGTGTCGGAATTTTCGATGTCGAACTTCACATTCTGGCAATGGTGATATATAGTCGATGGAAATATTAGACCATGGTTTAAATGGTAATGGTAGTGGTTTTAGCAGACCAGTAGGAGCTTTTCTGGGTGTCTTAGTTTTAGTACAGAGGAGACAGCCTTTGCAAAACTTCCTTGCAGCGTCTATCATACTGGGCCACCAGTACGTTCTATTTATTAAGTCAATAGTTCTCTCTCTTCCTGGGTGTCCGGCGGCTCCTGACTAGTGTGCTCTGTGAAGTACCTGAAGTTGGATTTCCTCATTGTCTGGTGGGATTACTAGACGGTCTCTATAATAAACGAGTCCAGCTACTATTCGACATCCACTAAATACGATTTTTAACAGTCTCGCAAGCGAAGGTTTCCAGCGTCTAACGGTAGAATCTGATAGATCAGTTATTATATCTTGCATAATTAATTAGTTGTTGTATGCGTTCGTGATCAAATCATCGATTGGTTGAGAGACGTCTATTTTGTACATTTTAATGGATTTCAAATGGGCAAAACTGTGATCAAATTTGGAAGCCGGAATCAAAGGAATGCGCCTTGCGGAAAGGCGGTCATCTAAAATATCCTTCGGAGCATCTTGCGGCCTTCGGCTCAAGGCATCAGCTCGGGTATTCACTGTACCTGGCCGATATATAACCTGGAAATTGAATCAGGATAAGAATTCTGCCCATCGCATTTGCCTTTGATTTAAATCCTTAGTTATCTGAAAAGTTTGGAGATTTTATGATCTGTTAGTATTTCAAATTGGGATTGTAGTCCTTCTAACTCTGGGCGCCATTCTTATAGTGATTTGATAACACTGAGTAATTCCTTATCATAAATATCATAATTGCACTCTTGAGCTGAATGTTTGGACGAAAAATATGCGACAGGTCTAAGTTCACTTCCAACCCATTGTGATAAAGTACCACCACATGCCCAATTACTTGCATCTACTTCCACAACGGTTTTTCTTGACCAATCCAAGACTGCAAGAGAAGGAGCTTTGCTGAACGCCTCCCGTAAACTTTGAAATGCAGACGAACAAATAGAAGTCTAGGTCTAAACAGCATCTTTTTTAGTGAGGCCGTATAGAGGGTGTGCCAGTTCAGAAAAATTGCGTATAAAACGGTGGTAAAAATTTGCAAACCCAAAGAATCGTTGGAGTTGTCGTTTTGAAGTTGGAGGTTCACATTCTAGTATAGCTTTGACTTTCTCCTGATCCATCTCAATACCTCCAGGTGTAATACTAAGACCATGGTATTTTGTCTTTGTAGCATGGAAGTCACATTTATCTATACCAATTTGAAGCCCTGCGGCGCGAAGTCGTTTCAGTACGTCTCTAACATGCTTGACATGTTTCTCCATAGAATTTGAAAAAATAATGATATCATCAAGGTAGGCTGTGGCATATTTATCTAATACGTCGTATAATATATCGTTAATATACCGTTGAAATGTCGCGGGCGCATCACTTAATCCGAAGGGTGTCACTAGTTGTTCGTAGAGGCCACAACGGGTAATGAAGGCTGTCAGCCATTCGTGGCCTTCTGCTATCCTGATTCTACTGAAGGCTGAAACAACGTCAACTTTTGTAAATATTTTCGCTCCACAAATAAGGTCCAGATTTTCCTTGATGAGTGGAATGGGATATCGGGTTTTCATTGTGATATTATTTATACCACGAAAGTCATGACAAATACGAATGCCTCCTCCTGGTTTTTTGGCTAGAAGAATTGGGCTTGCAATAGGCGACGTTGATGGTCTTATCCATCCTTTACTCAATTGATCGTCCAACCAGCGTTTGATGACATGCAGCTGTGGGTTTCGATCGATCACAATTGAAACAGGATGGTGACAAATATAACTCGTGGCTCTACTACAGCTAGTTCCGCAGAATGCAATAGTTAAGCTTGAGTTCTAATAAATTTGTCTATCTCTCCTCCTAACTCCCAACTCCGAAATCTACACTTTGTGCGTAGCTTACTAATTGTAGGCTAACCGCATTTAGTAGTCTATGTTACATTACGTAGCCTGCTACGTTTAGGATCCACACAGCTCTGACGGAGAACAAGGACGTGCTCTAGATCTAGGAAATTTATGGTTTCCTGGTAAGAGCTCTATCTTATGATCATAAGAACGATGGGGATGAAGATTGGTGGCCTCCTGGGGAAACGCTACATCTGCTATATCATGATAAACTTTAGGGATTGTCATCTTTATTTCCTCCATAGAGGGAGGACGACGATTAGCCTTCTTAAAAAACTTAACTACATCTTCATCAGTGACTCTGCGTAGCTTTGTATTGTTAGTATCAAATATTAAATCTATAAATTTATGAAAATAATTGCGGAATCTGCTTTTCCACTCACGAGGATTTCCCTGTCCTCGAAGTAATTTCCTGTATTCATCCTCAACTAAGTCTAGAACCTTGATATCGGTTTCTCGCTCTTCCCCTAATTTTTCGAGTTCATCTGCCATAATTCGCATTTCCTGCATACCTTTTTGTCTTGAAAAATGAAAAAATCCTGGTGCTTTGAGAATACGGATGTCATTACAATTCACTTCATCAAGGACTTCTAGCGGAGAATGAAGCATTTCATGCTTATTCTTAGTCGCTTGTTTGACCCGTTTACTAACAATAGATTTGGCTTGAATTGGACTCGTCGATGCCAGTGTAGTTGGAAGCTCCGGTGCGTCTTTCTCGGGTACAGTAACATGTTCATGATCGATGTCACGGTAGTAGAATGGTAGTTGGCGTGGTTTGAGATTAAGCGATAATTTAGCCTCTAAAGACCTTCGTGTAGCTAGATAGTCTCTTCCCTTCTCATTGCACAACTCATGTGCAATACTTACCTCGTTCTACGTACCCTCGCCCTGTGACAATCGATAACTTACTCAACATAAGGTGACTTATAATTTGAATTTCCGGGAATAAAGTAGTTACTTGTGCAAAATTCTTTGTCAAATTTCACTGACTTCAATTACCAGTCAATGGAAAGATTATGACGCTCCAGCCATGGACATCCCAGAATAACATCATGTTCGGGTCCTAGTGTGGTAACCAGGGCATCTACTTCCTCGAAATGATTGCTTAATTCTAAGGAACTAGAAACACGATGCGTTGTTAGCTCAGAAACAC